GTGAAAATTGGTTTTAAATAAGATCACATGATGTGCGAAATTTTTTAGACTGGTATTGCTAGTCTTTTACCAATACTGTACCGTACCAAAAAGGTATATACTCGTAATTTTACTTTTAGTCGCTATAGCCTATATTAGATACATGTTATAACAATTCCTATATTAGAAACATGTTATAACAATTTATACTTGTCGATATCGAATAATAAAAAACTTCAAAGTCTTCAATATTCTTGGGTTAAATAGTTTTCTATACTGGCTGAAGTGTACTGATGTTCCGTTTTTTTCATTTACTTTTTCTACATAATTGAATAATGCCAATATGGAAAATATGAGTGCCATTAAAAAACAAACATATAGTATAGTTAATGCATATAAAAACTCTTAATAATGAACTCTGGATGAACGGACCGCAAAAATTTATATTTTATATTCAATTTCGGCTGTAGAGTTCCAGATTTTTTTTTAGAAATATATACTTATAAAATATCTTTAGAAGTATTGATAAATTTTAGTTATAACGCAATGTCAATTTGTCTCGCCTGTGAACGAAGTCACAGAGCGATACATTATTGTAAGTCACTGGACCATGAGAAAGATCTCTCATGCGTTTATTGCTTGCATGTTAAGGCATGTTAATCAAGATTTGTATGCATAATGATATAAGATCGATTTGTAAGAAGTTTAATTATCCTGGGGTTTCTCTGTTCTTGTTTTTCGCTGCTCGACATTCGTGTCTGGCACACCCATAACACCCGAAAAACGCCGACTGAAATGAAAAGTTTGAAAGAGAGAGTGGGATTTAATAAGGGTGTGTAGTGAAGATGCAGGTAGAGAAAGTAATAAAGGAAGCCAAAAATATAACTCATCACTGCACACCCAAAAAGTGCTCGGCAAGAGCTGTGCACGTGACTTGCTCAGCGGCCACATCCCATACTGTACAGTACTACGTCGTTTAGGCACAGATGTATTGTTAGCCACGAAGCCTGCTCGTCAAATAGAAGGAATAGGTTCCATGACGAACAATAATAATTTAGATTTTATCCCATAACAATTTATCAGAGTTGCCAAAGATCCAAATCGTTTCATGTAAGACTTTTTGAATAATAGCTGTTATTCACGTGTTTATTTTAAAATTTTATGTCTCTGAAAACAGTCTAGCTTTATTAAGTGTCCTCCGGACAATTACTAGGGATTTTAAAACATGCCGTAATGATTTTTGACAAGTCGTCAAAAATATGTGGCTTAGACATCGGCTGTGTACGTACCTGCAAAATAATTTGAACACGTTTTTATTGTTACAGCCACTAAAATAATTAAAATCAAAGTATCCTTACCTTTCATGAAATTTGAACTTGTTCGAGATAACAATAAAAAAAGTCTTCGTGATACATACAGTTAAGATGAACAGTCTTTCTACATTTCTTCATACAGAACTTTTACAAATTGTGGATGAAACAAAGCGTAGGCATTCTGAGATCAAAGAGGTAAAGTTAAATAGACCTCACGATTAAAGTGTTAATATGATAGGTGGCCAATTTGTCAATTCTTGATAATTCAAAAGGCCGCAGAAAAATCGATTATCATCGTAAGATCTCTAATAGAACAACCTGATATCAATGTTTCTAAAGGTGAAAAATTTAGTCACAATTCATTTTGGATTCTCATTTTGGATTTGTCAAGTTCGTTCATGTTTTTTTTTAACAAAAAATTAAAAATCTATAATTTTATAGAACTTTCGAAGCACACCGATTTTTTACTTCCATTTACTCTTGCTTGTGAGATAAAGAATCTTAAATTAATAATTATATCCGTAGGCTGTTTACATAAATTGATCTCACATCGTGCTGTTCCTGAGGTAGGATCATTCATATTTAATAATAGTGTATCTTGGAACTATATATATCTTTAATCTAATAGAGCTCTATTTATTAGTTTTCCATTAAAACTATAATAAAAATTCTTAATGACTTAGTATTTCAAGGTGTTGAAGTTCAACTCAAAATTTTACAGACTATCCCACCTTTGCTAAATAATTATCAATCATTACAAGGCGATCTTCTTATTGACGTATAATATCTTATCTTTTTATGTGATTAATACTCGTCCCATCATTATATATACTAATGACAAATATCAATGTGTGTGTTCAGGCGTTATTAATATGTTTTCATCTTCATGACTCAAAAGCTGTTGTAGTCAGTAACACTGCTGCTGCTACGTTGCGTCAATTGGTAATCGACGTTTTTGAAAAAATTCTTTTAGAAGACGAAATAAATGACAAAGGTTACAATTTATTTTATATATACCATTATACTGTATCATATGATTGACTATTTATTAACTATTTTATTTTAATCATTTAAAGGTGCAATAAATCCCAGTTCGAATGCAAGATTAAGCTTAAATGGGAATGTTTTGTCTCTTCGTCGATATGCGAGAGATGCTTATTATCTTTTTCAGG